CATTTGAGGGGGTAGTGATTAGTAAAATATGGATGAATAATAAAAATAATAACCCATGTCCAAATGTTTATTCTTGGGTAGTAGATTTAAACTAGAGGGCTATCACTACGGGCAGCAACGCTGTAAATATTGACAAATAAATCCAGAAAAATGGCACAAAAGAAAACTGGTAGTGGCCTGGCTGGGTATATAATTCCCGGCCTGACTTATTTTCCCAGTCCGGCCCTGCAGGTACTAGTAACAAAACTGTTTCTCTGCATTTGACCCATCCTAGTGATAGGAGCAGTGGGCTGCCATTATGTACGGCGCCCGGGGAGCAGTGTAGGGAACGGTGCCTTGCTCACCTCGGTAGCACTTGGTCTTTCTGGGACATAAACTGGTGACCTTCCAGTTGCCAAGCCAAGTTCCTATGGACTTCGCCACCACGAAGGGGATAAAAGGGGTTTCAGCCAGTCTCCTTAATAACTTTAAAGTAATGTGTGAAACTAGTCTAACTCGATGTTCCTCAAATATCTAAAGAGAGAAAATATTCTGCTAATGGTGCATACGGAGCAGATGATTCCAAATACTATTTGTATGAAGTCTTTCTATGAGAGCACAGTTTTCTAAGATTTGGGATTTGGCTTAATGATATATATCAGAACAAAAAGTATATACTTTTGATTTGTGATCACTTTTGTGCACACTTTGTAAAAAACTTTTATATGATAATGAAGTATTGAGTTAAAAGCTGCACATTCATGTCTCTGCGTCTGGCTGCTGTGTTGCCATCAAGCCCTGTGTCTCTGATAGAAACTTTAATAGCTGCCAGCGTGAGACACTGATCAGCCAAGCACATCAGCATAGTGAGATCCAATATGTCACCACCACGCAGAGAGAGAGAGGGAGTGTGTGTGTGTGTGTGTGTGTGTGTGTGTGTGTGTGTGTGTGTGTGTGTGTGTGTGTGTGTGTGTGTGTGTGTGTGTGTGTGTGTGTGTGTGTGTGTGTGTGAGAGGAGGAGGCTAGCTGCATGTGTGTCTTGTTAGCGCTGGGTGTAACAGTGGAAGTGGTGGCAGTAATGTGTGGATGACAGAGGAGCTCCTACTGCGAGCTATATGAAGACGTGAGAGATCAGACAGAGATCTGCAACATGTCACATCCCCTGGTGTGTGTGTGTGTGTGTGTGTGTGTGTGTGTGTGTGTGTATGTGTGTGTGTGTGTGTGTGTGTGTGTGTGTGTGTGTGTGTGTGTGTGTGTGGGTGTGTGTGTGTGTGTATGTGTGTGTGTGCACATGTTCACTCAGGAAACGGACACTGTCTCTCTGTTCATATGTGTGATGATCAGTTACTTATTATGCATCTAACAAATTAATGTCAAACTGTGTGGTTAAATGTATTAAAGAGACTTAGATAAATGTCACAAAAACTAATTACAAAACTGCTAAATTGCAAAAATAAACAGCAAATGGTTTGGAATGTTACAAAGAACATAACTCAAGTTAAGTACAAGTACTAAAATGTAGGTATTTGTATTTAACTTGAGTATTTCCCACTTGACAAAATTGAAAGGTAACTATTACTTTACTACATTTATTTGAAGGTTTACTAGGGAATTACCAAAAATACACAAGGGTTTTAAATAACAATATTTGTGTTATCTACAGCTCAGTTGATTAATCAATTAGCAGATAGAAACATAAATAATTAATCTATAAACATTTAAGTTATTTTTAGATGTATTTCTTCATTTGGACTTACACTGAACAAAATTCAAATGTGTTAAATAATACAATACAAAACAACTTTAAACCTATAATACAAAAAACAAACAAAAACAAACAAAAAATGTTGAGTTATCTTAGTGTAAGGCAGCAAACGGAACTGAAGTTATTTTTATTTTTAAGTTGATCCAGCTTACAGCAGCTATGAAAATCAACTGACAATCCTGCATTCTCCCTCTGTAGTATCACTCAGTACTGGTTGTGGATTTATTGGACTGCTTTTGTTGCTAAACTCAAACATTGACCTTCCTTCTAAAAAACGAATATCAAATTGATATCTGTCGTGTTTAAATCACATGTCTCCCCCCTTTCCCCTTCACCTGTCCTTGCCTCCTCTCTCTTCTAATTACTTCCCCTGCTCTCCTCCCTCTCTGGCCCCCGGCTCTCAGCAGGCTCCAGAGGGGCCACTGCAGCAGCTGTATCCCAACAGGGGCTCTGCTTCCTGGGGGGGGGGGGGGGCGTGATGGTGAGACTCACTGAACCGATCTGGAGGTCACGTGGCAGGATGTAGAGCAGAACGTGGTGACCTTTTGACCTCTGCATCTATCCAAATGTATTTCTGACAGGGAGAAGAAGAATACAAGTGTAGGAACAGCAAACCTACACTAGAGGGCGCTGGTGGTTCAGCAGTGGCTTTTATCTACAGGGTGATCCATCTCTCTAGATTTAAACCTTTGAGCCAGGCACTGCATTAACCTTAAAATCAAAAGATTTTAGGATTAAGAAAAAATTGTTTGCTCGTGTCCCCATTTCGTTGGTATTGGATTAACAGGCCTCTTGTGCACTAAAGTAGAAGTCTTTCAAACAGCATTAAAACTACTGAAACCATTCAATCCCCCTGCAAACTACATGTTCTTAGTAAATGATCTCTTAACATTATGTTTTGTATCAAATATGACCAAACAAAGGAGTTCATAATCCTTTATGTAAATCAAAGTGCAGATATAAACATTAAGGCAAGACGAGCAGCGAGCGTTTTGCTACGAAATGGAATGTCAAAATGTACCTGTACAAGGATTGATCCGTTAAGAAAAAAATTGAAATTTTTTAATTTTATAAGCTAATCAGTTTTGTTAAATAATATTTGTTTCTCTAGTGCAATTTCTCCTCTTCCTTTCCCATTTTCTGCCACAACTTGATGTAAAAACGTTGCCATGCATTTCTTGAATAAATCTCTCTGATTTCAGTTTTTGTGACACATTTCTTGTTGTTGTCGTATTTAGTATTTACAGTTGCAGTCAAATACGCAGCACAGCGGGGCATCAATAAGCATGTTGCTGAACTGCTGATGAGGTTTATTTGTCTGTTCTACGAGAGTATTGAAAATATGAAAGCAGCAATGAATCAACATTTCAAAAATGTTTAAATAATAATATGCTTATGAAAGACTGCAAATGTGGTTTGTGGAGAAAATAAATACCAAAAGGGTTTTCAAGCTTTTCCTAAGATTTTGAATGATTAGGAAGTGACTAAGTCTTGGTTGAGCTTTTCTAGATATTGAGTTATAACATGGTAACTCTCCTGCCCTGAGCCAGCCCGTTTGGAGGTGAAACGCTAACCTTAACTACACATGTAGGATTTGTGTGATTGCCTTTGGGGCAGCCAAAAGCATCCTCCAAGAAAGGGAACTTCTGCGGGATAGATTTCTGTCTGCAGGCACAGCATGAATACAGAAAAAGAAGCCACTGATGCCAACAAGGTGTTGCTTCTGTCTGTGCCACTTTATGTTCAAATGGAGACAAGAGACTTGGGATAAATAAGATCATCAACCTGTCATCCAATCTTTCATGCTAGATTTTTTTTATTTAGTTAAATGTTAGAATAAAACATTAAAGCACATTCACTTTCTGGCTGACGGTAAGATGAAATGACTGATACTATTCTCATGAGTGTTCGCTGAAGCGGAGGCTTTAAAGATGCTGTAAGTGGATGTTCTACCTTTAGATAGAGCCTGGCAGGCGTTAACCTCCTAAAGCAAGAGTTACAAGATCACCTGGGTCCCTTTTCTGTCTGTCTTCAGTCTTTTACTTGAACAGGTAATTTACACATCTTGCTTTCTCTTTCATTTGCATCAGAAAGCCAAATAAACTAAATCCTTCTTAACAATGACTTATCACTAAACTCATCTGGATTGTTGTGAAAAACAGCGTATGATTAAACTTAGTTACAACTCCAAGTATTTTACTAATTAGTTTTTATAAGGATTGGAGAATTATCAACATTTTATCAAAATCACAAAATGTACTACAATATTTCAATATTCAAATCGCAGTCATCACAATATATTTTAAAGACTATATATGCTTAAATCCCATTTTGATTGAAGCTGTGTGGTGCTACAGAGATATCTCAGCATAAAAATGTTATTATACAGACTTAACAAAGGATAATTGTTTGGTACAGATCACTGATTAAAGACTTGTCATGATCAATGATCAATGATCAATGATCAATCCCTTCAATATTGTGAATAATATCGTAAATACAATATCAGTCAAAATTAGTCATTTTCTCCAAATTGTGCAGCCCTAGTTTTATGCGGTACATATTTCTATGTAAAAGCTTTGTACAACTTTTTAGAAGTGTATTCCTAAAGCTACAAGAAAAAACTGACCTGCTGCGTGCTGTAGCGAAAGACCAATGAGAGATGTTAGCATAAGAAAAGTATTGCAATTTGAAAAGACAGTAATGTAAAAAACTAACCAAAACTGGACAACCTGATTTTTTTGTGTGAGTGAGATATTTATAATATGGCTGTACATTTTGAAGGAAGCTACTGTATGTATTTTATGTGTTGTTTTTCATCTTAATCCTCCAAAAGTCATATCTTGCTGTGGAGATCATCAAGCACAGGCACAACATGTTTCATCTAACGCACACAATCATCAGTTTCACCTTCCCGTGTGAAAAGAAACAGCCGGGAGAGATGTTTCTAAAACTGACAAAAACCAGACAAGGAATCAAACGTGTGTGGTTGTCACTCCTGGAGAGCCCAACCTCCCTTCCCCTACACCTCATTGGATAAACAGGACCACTAGCTGATTGGCTCTGACAGCAGAGCTATAATCACCTTGTATGTTGAAAGCTTATTACACTACACACTCCAGCACATACAGTAATTTTCCAATCCATCTTTGATGTTTCTTTTTCCTGCAAAAAGTTTCCTTGAATGTTTGCTCTTAAGCAAAAGAAGCATGAGCTAAATGTATGTGTGTGTTTTTTCCCACGTCCATCCCCGTCTTTATCTGTCGGTCTTCTTGGCCCACGCCAGGTCATCTGATCTCGGTCTGTGGCCTGTGAATCCTTTGATCAGTTGCTCCATCCGTCTCCAAAAGCCCAGCTGGTCCAGTGGAAAGTTGCACCAACCTGGGGTGTGAGGAAACATGAAGAAAAAGACAGAAAATGGATGTAGGATAATAGAGGGAGGAAGTTGAAATGGGGAGAGAAGTACACAAAAAAGCTAAGGAAGGAACACTGAGTCTGGAATAAAGTGGTTCATTTATGGCAGGGGTGGGGAACCTCCGGCCTCCGGGCCGTATTCGGTCCGCGAAACCATTTGATAAGGCCCTCAAGGTTATGGAAGCCTGTTTGCGCCACAGGAAAAAAAAAAATCCTGTAAGTCATTATAATGACTTAGCTATCTCATTATATTGACTTAGTTATCTCATTATATTGACTTAGTTATCTCATTATATTGACTTAGCTATCTCATTATATTGACTTAGTTATCTCATTATATTGACTTAGCTATCTCATTATATTGACTTAGTTATCTCATTATATTGACTTAGTTATCTCATTATATTGACTTAGCTATCTCATTATATTGACTTAGTTATCTCATTATATTGACTTAGCTATCTCATTATATTGACTTAGCTATCTCATTATATTGACTTAGTTATCTCATTATATTGACTTAGCTATCTCATTATATTGACTTAGCTATCTCATTATATTGACTTAATATCTCATTATATTGACTTAATATCTCATTATATTGACTTAATATCTCATTATATTGACTTAGCTATCTCATTATATTGATTTAATATCTCATTATATTGACTTACTCTCTCATTATATTGACTTAGTTATCTCATTATATTGACTTAATATCTCATTATATTGACTTAGCTATCTCATTATATTGACTTACTCTCTCATTATATTGACTTAATATCTCATTATATTGACTTACTATCTCATTATATTGACTTAATATCTCATTATATTGACTTAGCTATCTCATTATATTGATTTAATATCTCATTATATTGACTTACTCTCTCATTATATTGACTTAATATCTCATTATATTGACTTACTCTCTCATTAAATTGACTTAATATCTCATTATATTGACTTAGCTATCTCATTATATTGACTTACTCTCTCATTATATTGACTTAATATCTCATTATATTGACTTACTCTCTCATTATATTGACTTAATATCTCATTATATTGACTTACTCTCTCATTATATTGATTTAATATCTCATTATATTGACTTAGTTATCTCATTATATTGATTTAATATCTCATTATATTGACTTAGCTTATATTGACTTTCTCTCTCATTATATTGACTTAGCTTATATTGACTTACTCTCTCATTATATTGACTTAGTTATCTCATTATATTGATTTAATATCTCATTATATTGACTTACTCTCTCATTAAATTGACTTAATATCTCATTATATTGACTTAGCTATCTCATTATATTGATTTAATATCTCATTATATTGACTTACTCTCTCATTATATTGACTTAATATCTCATTATATTGACTTACTCTCTCATTAAATTGACTTAATATCTCATTATATTGACTTAGCTATCTCATTATATTGACTTACTCTCTCATTATATTGACTTAATATCTCATTATATTGACTTACTCTCTCATTAAATTGACTTAATATCTCATTATATTGACTTACTCTCTCATTATATTGATTTAATATCTCATTATATTGACTTAGTTATCTCATTATATTTATTTAATATCTCATTATATTGACTTAGCTTATATTGACTTTCTCTCTCATTATATTGACTTAGTTATCTCATTATATTGACTTAGCTATCTCATTATATTGACTTAGTTATCTCATTATATTGATTTAATATCTCATTATATTGACTTAGTTATCTCATTATATTGATTTAATATCTCATTATATTGACTTAGCTCTCTCATTATATTGACTTAGCTTATATTGACTTACTCTCTCATTATATTGACTTACTCTCTCATTATATTGACTTAATATCTCATTATATTGACTTAGCTATATCATTATATTGACTTAGTTATCTCATTATATTGACTTAATATCTCATTATATTGACTTACTCTCTCATTATATTGACTTACTCTCTCATTATATTGACTTAGCTATCTCATTATATTGACTTACTCTCTCATTATATTGACTTAGCTATCTCATTATATTGACTTAGCTATCTCATTATATTGACTTACTATCTCATTATATTGACTTAATATCTCATTATATTGACTTAGCTATCTCATTATATTGACTTACTATCTCATTATATTGACTTAGCTATCTCATTATATTGACTTACTATCTCATTATATTGACTTAGCTATCTCATTTTATTGACTTGAATATCTCATTATATTGACTTACTATCTCATTATATTGACTTAGCTATCTCATTATATTGACTTAGTTATCTCATTATATTGACTTGGCTATCTCATTATATTGACTTAGGTATCACATTATATTGATTTAATATCTCATTATATTGACTTAGCTCTCTCATTATATTGACTTACTCTCTCATTATATTGACTTACTCTCTCATTATATTGACTTAGTTATCTCATTATATTGACTTAATATCTCATTATATTGACTTACTCTCTCATTATATTGACTTGGCTATCTCATTATATTGACTTACTCTCTCATTATATTGACTTAGTTATCTCATTATATTGACTTACTCTCTCATTATATTGACTTAGTTATCTCATTATATTGATTTAATATCTCATTATATTGACTTAGTTATCTCATTATATTGATTTAATATCTCATTATATTGACTTAGCTCTCTCATTATATTGACTTAGCTATCTCATTATATTGACTTGGCTATCTCATTATATTGACTTAGCTATCTCATTATATTGACTTGGCTATCTCATTATATTGACTTAGCTCTCTCATTATATTGACTTAATATCTCATTATATTGACTTAGCTATCACATTATATTGATTTAATATCTCATTATATTGACTTAGCTCTCTCATTATATTGACTTAATATCTCATTATATTGACTTAATATCTCATTATATTGACTTACTCTCTCATTATATTGACTTACTATCTCATTATATTGACTTACTATCTCATTATATTGACTTAGTTATCTCATTATATTGACTTAATATCTCATTATATTGACTTAATATCTCATTATATTGACTTACTCTCTCATTATATTGACTTAGCTATCTCATTATATTGACTTTCTCTCTCATTATATTGACTTAGCTATATCATTATATTGACTTATTATCTCATTATATTGACTTAGTTATCTCATTATATTGACTTAATATCTCATTATATTGACTTACTCTCTCATTATATTGACTTAGCTATCTCATTATATTGACTTTCTCTCTCATTATATTGACTTAGCTATATCATTATATTGACTTATTATCTCATTATATTGACTTAGTTATCTCATTATATTGACTTACTCTCTCATTATATTGACTTAGCTATCTCATTATATTGACTTTCTCTCTCATTATATTGACTTAGCTATATCATTATATTGACTTAGTTATCTCATTATATTGACTTAATATCTCATTATATTGACTTAGTTATCTCATTATATTGACTTAATATCTCATTATATTGACTTAATATCTCATTATATTGACTTACTATCTCATTATATTGACTTAGCTATCTCATTATATTGACTTACTATCTCATTATATTGACTTGCTCTCTCATTATATTGACTTATTATCTCATTATATTGACTTAGTTATCTCATTATATTGACTTAATATCTCATTATATTGACTTAATATCTCATTATATTGACTTACTCTCTCATTATATTGACTTAGCTATCTCATTATATTGACTTTCTCTCTCATTATATTGACTTAGCTATATCATTATATTGACTTAGTTATCTCATTATATTGACTTAATATCTCATTATATTGACTTACTCTCTCATTATATTGACTTAGCTATCTCATTATATTGACTTACTATCTCATTATATTGACTTAGCTATCTCATTATATTGACTTACTCTCTCATTATATTGACTTAGCTATCTCATTATATTGACTTACTCTCTCATTATATTGACTTAGCTATCTCATTATATTGACTTACTATCTCATTATATTGACTTAATATCATTATATTGAC